ATAATAGAGTTTAGTTTTAGTTGACTCTCTTAGTTTTCTAAAAATATATTTGACACGTCAATTTTTGTAAGTACTTTTTCTTACGGGTTTAAGGAAAAGTTAGTAAAAGATAAAAAAGATACGTATACATAAAAATAAAAGTTTTAAACATTTTGTTTAGTTATTGGTCTCGCTTATTTTAAATCTCGTTTCCGTTTCCCTTGCGGTAATCGTTGAATACCTTAGTTTTACTTTGTTTTTTAGTTATTAGCGTCTAGGCGTGTGGCTAAATTCGCTATAGATATGGAGTTATTTTCGCCTACACTATACACCTTAATCATTGAGTCCTAACATTAGTAGCATTTCTACGGACGTTTATTGGTAGTGGAAGACTGCGTTAGGTTCTACACAATTGCAGTATAAATAATTGTAAAGTGTTATAAAAGTAAAAAAAAAAAAAGATTTATAAATATCCATTTCAATTATTGTGTTTTTGTAAAATTATATTATCATGTTAATAACTGAGAGACTAATTTTTGTTCATAAACAAAGGTAGAAACAGAACAGTAATTTAATTTAAAATGCAAATAAAGATATTGCTTAAAGTACGATAAAACTATAAGCTAAGATAAATCCATAAAATTAATCTACAGCAAAAATACCTCTTTTGGTTTTTTTTTGGGAATTATTCTTTTCTTTTAAAAAAATAAGACGTTTTTATATCTACAAACAAAACAATGTGTGACGGTTAGTTATGATTATAATATTTTAAGCTATATGTCATTTGGAGCAATAATAATATTTTATGTTAGAAGAAAAAAATATTTTTAAATAAGGTAATGCCATCATCAATGCTATCTACTGTCGATTTTTTTTTTTGCTAAACCATTGTTGATTTAGTGTAAAATTTAGTGGCATTCATTAAAACTAAGAAAATATGTGAAAAACGGGGTTTTAATCTATTAATACTTTGTATTATATATTTTAACCGAAAAGTATTTAAACTTGTCAGGAGAATCGGATGACAGTTTTTAAATTGTTTTACTATTGTCTTTACAGTTATTGATCTACATATTGTTTAAACGCGTTGAAAAAAAATATTATTTGCATTTCTTGAAAAATAATTTGAGCACAGCGCTGAATTAGCAGGTTGAACGAGCGTCGTTATTATTGTTGGTAATTTGTTTTGCCGTCAGACTTTCTGAATAGACCGGTTTATGAATGCTGTGCACTTGTAATGATTATTATTGGCGTTTGCAAAGCTTCTTGTTTCCATCGCTAAAAAAACGGAAAAAAAGCCGCAGTTGCTAGTTCCGCGTGTGTTGGCTAAATATATTTTTGCGCGTTTATCGGCTTCCGACAGTTAGCTCGTGCTTTTATTTTTCACATTTTATTTCAATGTTTTTTTTTTTGCTGATGGTCTATGGATTTTGTACAAGCACGAGGAAGTGTGATTGATTTTACAATACTTTTAAAACGAGTAAGTGTTAAATAATACATTTTGTTTTGTTTCATAACAGCTTCTTTATTTTTATTTGTAACCAATTAACAGTAATTTTTTTGAAACCGCTTCTTATAATTTGTTTAAAATTGAAATTATTCAATAACTACGGGAAATCACACAAGTAAACATATATTTTGTTGCCTTGATAGTTTACTTTATTCTCGACTAACGTGAAGACGCTGGTTAAAAATTAATACCAATGTTTGTTTTGTAAGAATTCAGTTTGGCGATATCTTTTATTAATTTAGTAATTATCAACACAGGGTTGAAAATGTTACAAGCCAATACTAATAGGTATTAGGCTTAGTACCTATTAGTTGTTATAGCTAACTACAACAAATGTTGACTTACTATATCATTAATAGTTCATAATAATAGTTAAAAGTCAATTATAAATATGTCTAAGTTAAATTATGAATTTTGGAACGTTATAAAATATTATTCCTGGAACGAAACGTTCATATCCGCTCCAAACTACAAACTTAAATTTAAAATGTTTGTAATTGACTTATTTTACAAGCACAGAAACAATTAAGGGGTACGGAAAGCGCTATTTATTAAGGGGCAAGGGATAGGCAATATTTGACGAAAATTCAACTGATTTTTCATATGTCTACTAATATCAAGGCGAACACATATTGAAATTTTCTAATTATAATACTTATAAGAAAAATTTCTCCGAGCTATGACAAAAGTTTGATAAAAAGTGACCTTTTGTAGAAGTCATTTTCTGGCTTAACCATTGGACAGATTTCAAGTTTTTTTTTTTATGCGCATCTTACTATTTTTTTTTTATAAGGGCTAAAAGGCCGATTTTTGATTTAGCGATTAAAACGTAGTTAAATGTATTAGAAAAAACTGTAACAAAGTAAAAATAAAAATGCTTATAAATATTTTTTGAAAATAAAAATAAAAAACAGGCCTTTTAGCCCTTATAGAAAAAAATAGTAAGATTCGCAATCGCTTGAACAGGCACTAAAATCAGCGGAGTTCGCAACTATTGCTGATTTAAACCAATCGATTAATTCGTCCCGAGAAATATATATATATATATATTTCCATCGAAGACATTTTAATAGAAGTAATTATAGTCACTTTTTGAATACCTCCTCCGAATCTGTGGCTTTCGATTTTGCTGTCATTTCACTTAACTATCTTTTATTTGTATTGTCTGCGATAAGATGCGTCTATACTATTTCACTAGTTAAAAAATGTATTTCTAAATTTTAGCTGTTATTTATTTTTTAATAAATAATTTATAACGTATTGAGCTGGTTTGACAGTTTTTTTCCTTTAAAATATCAAATAGTTTATTCTAATGTTTTTATTTTTTTAAGAGCATAAACATTAATTATCTAGTTAAATTATACGTCCATGACTTGTGTTACTAGATATTTACATGCTATCACCGTAAACTCTCAAAGAGATCACCATGTCTGGGTATGTTATGGTTGGTCATGTTAAACCACAATGTATGCAGTTTGAAAAATGTAGTAAGTCTTCGACAAATTTATGACATGTTCTTCTCGTAAAACTTCATATTACTATACAAATGTAATTCTAAAGAGTATATGCATAGATTTGAAAATATATGTATACTTCATAATTTTTCTTAACTATGGAAGTGTTAACTATAAAACTTTTTTAAGCTGGTAAGTAGTATGCTTAATATTATAAATAGGTACTAACTTTCATTTTCTTAGCATTTTAAAGTTTTTATGATACATCTACAATAATAAATTCTAATAAAATAGAATAACAAGTCGAAAGTAATTATCACAGTCGACTTATAAGAATTTAAAAAGTATCTGTTACCATCAAAATTATTAATTGGCCTATGAATATTAAAAAAAACCAAACATAAACGAATAAACCCAAATATACATATACATAACAAATAAATGTAATAATAATTGTTTAAATTAGTACATCTCTTGGCTTACTGTGCTTAATTCAATATTAATATTGTTTTGTTCGGTACGTTTGTGCAGAAAAATGTTTACTCAATAATAATGAAACGCAAATAACAGATATTTTATTAAATACTTAAACGAATTGTATTTTTTTTTTATCGTTATATTTCCCTAAACCTGCTTTCCTAGATTGGTTGTGCATCGTATTCCGGTTGTAGAGCTATTGGGTTCTATAGTTCCATCGAGCATTATGGGATAATAATATAGGGATTCTGTGCATTTGCTCGCTCAAGCACTATTTACGGGACATTTGAAATTAAAATACCAACATATATACCCGGAAATCCTTTATTGCATTCAAGTTTGATATGAGTGTAGTGCATGTCAAAAACTTACTTTTATGAAATCCGGCACAGATTAAGCAAACAATCGATCCGACATATTAACATTAGAAATATTGAAACGATTTTTAGAAATGTTTTAATTATTTAACTTAATAGAACGAATTTTTGAATTTTAAAATAGATTTTCAATCGGAAATAAAACACGTATATGATTGAGATCGTTTTGAATTCCACTGCATGTATACTAATAGGTAAGGTTTCGGTTTTTACGCAAGTACATTATCATTTTGAACAGACTATACAGAAAACTACTCAGACTCCTACATTTATATCAGACCAACTACTAAGATAAGGTTTAAAATGTATTAAAAAGTAAGATGAACTAGGGTCCGGATAGTAATTTGTTCCAAATTTGTATGGAATATTCTTTAGACATAGTACTCGAACTACTGATAAACGTTGACAAACCAAACAAAAATATCTTAAACCGATTACCCTAGAAAAGGTAGAAACTTTTCCTTTGTATACATTTTTCCTGCAAACTTTTAGAACTTAAGATCTGAAAATTAGACCGAAGGTAGATTTAGAATGGGGCTCTAAACATATACAGTTATCTCAAAAATCTGTAGTCAAACTTTTTATTGTATTAAGGAAAAAGCAAAAACAGTGGAAATTACATTTTGACCGTAGTAAATTCCTAGGTTGTTAAGTTAGAGTAATTGATAGTCAACGAGTATTATAAAATATTTAAGTCATTGTTTAAAGGAATTTTTTACATTGGTTTACGCATGTTGTATACACTTTATTCTGATGTATAAATTGAATTAGTAACGGCGCTCAGTTTTGTAAAAAGTTTTATCTTTCAATTCTGAATTATCCATTACAATATTAGACCAATTATTTTTTTGATATTTCGTTAATCTCGATAAGATTCTATTCAACCAGTGCGTAAAAATATTAATACAAATATTTTTACCAAAATATAATTATTTATTTGGTTGTTATTTGTATCTGTGATTTACTTGTGTATGGTTAATGGTTATACACAAGTAAATCATTTACTCCTAAATTATGTATTTAATTTATATTAACAAAAGTTTTACTCTTATGATAAAAATTAATAAATTATCTGCTCCATATTATTATTATTTTTACTATTGAGTAAGAATCAAAGTAAGCACAAAGTAATTACTTTATGCTTCTCACAATGAAGGGTTTTCATTATTTAGTTAATTAAACAAATTTTTTGTTTGGTTTTAGAATAAAACAAATGCCTGCCAGGAAAGGATTGTTGGCGCCTCAGAATACATTTCTGGACACGATCGCAACTAGATTTGATGGCACACGTAAGTTGACAAATAATGTACTTAATACTATAAAAGCACTTAATCTAGTTTAGCATGTATAATTTTACATTTACAAATTTTTACGCGTCGGATAACTAATAGGTTTCTCTTATTGATTTGATAACATGTTATTTAAATATTAATCAGTTAACCGGCAACGGATCTTTGAATTAGCTACTAATTTATTATCGAGTAAATAAAGTATTTTTTTTTACAACTACCTACGTCCGCATTATGTAATTAGATATTGCTAGTGAAAAATAAAAGAGGTGTAAATGTGTTATAGAGGTATACATTTAATGAGCCGTACAATAGAAGTTTTAAAAAATAGTAGTAAATAAAAGACCGAAGAAGGGAAAAGAGTATTTTCTTATTGTCAAAAAAAAGGAGGAAATAATATAAAAATGTAATAAGATCAACAGTGTATATTGTAGAAGGCACTTGGCGTTGAATAAAAGTGCTGAGAGGGATTTAGAAATAACCAATAAATTTAAGAAAGCTAAAATGAGTAACTAGATTTAAATATACTTTTTTCGGGGGGATTGGGAATGATAATAGGAAAAGTTAATTCTGGAATTTTAATAATAACGGTACAAATACAGTGAAGAAATATTTAGAAATGTTGAAAGAAAGGATAAAATTATACCTGTATACAGTCATCAAAGGATAAGTAATCAAAGTAGGGATGAGTAGGTAGTAGACCGAAGAAGGAGTGGGTTGATGTTGTCATAATTAACGCATGTTAGCGTGTGAAATGAAAAGAGAGAGATACAGCGGTATGTTTCGGATGACCGACTACAATTGTGTTGTGTAAGGTGAAGGACAAGAAGACTAATTACCTACGTTGATACCTAAAACTTACAATAATTATTACGAAGTGATATGTTAAATGTTTTTTTTTTCTACATTTAACGTTATTAATACCTAACATGCGTTGTCAGCCACGGGTTACGACCCTTCAACAAATATAATTTATCCTTGTCCAGTCAGCCACTTGGGTCCAGACATTTACCCTTTTGGGGTTTTAAAAAATATTTGTTATTTTTACTGGATTTCTCTCTCTCTCCTCGACATTAGTCTTGATTCTAAATCCTTTTGGTTGTTTTAGACCACAGAAAAACTTTTCATACATCATCTGCAGATGCTTGGCATTTGATACCTGCAATCAGTCCTTTTTATTACCATGATACATTTGTTTTTAGAATTACTTGTTGTAATAAACGAGTTTCGAAATTGTACTAGATTTATGTCGGCCTAAACAATTTGTTTTGTCTAAATTCATTTTAGTAATACTTACTATTGAAAATAATAAATTATTTGCCTATACTAAACGCCTTAAAATAGTGAGTGTAGAAATAATACTTAGTATTCTATTAAATATTGTGTACATACTTGAAGTTAAACAAGTGTTGATGGATAGTAATATATCAATAAATTTTCTGTTATTCGCGTAATATATTATTGACTCAAATTTCGTTTACTGGGTCTTCTCGGGTTACCGGATAATATATAGAGTTAAATTGATTTTTCAGAGTTAACTCTGGGTACTAGATAACTTCAAAGGCTTAATATTGTAGTATCATATTTAAACCATCACACTTTTCCACATTACGGTGTACGAATGAACAATCTCAAGCATGCAGGTCTAGTCTTGTACATTTTATTTTTTAACAATAGTTTTTTTTTAAATACAACCTATAAAAAGATTGCAATTTGTTAGTTCAATTTCACAAATTATTGTTTATACGACATCGTCCGAACATTTTGTGTATTTTTGCTATTATATTCGTTAATGCAATGTTGAACCCTGCTGTGTATATCAATATATTTCCCCGTCACAAGTCCCCTCAAATAAACAGAGTATAGAGTATGTAAGATGCCTGGACGTGACAGTGCTCAAACGATAGTATAGTAGACCAGAGGGACCTGTCGCACCGAGACTTGCTAGTTTGTCATACTCCTAACCGCACCGCATTTATATATTTGACTGGTTTTATATATTATGCTGTTTTAATAGATGAAAATTAACCTAATCTAAACTAAAATCACAACTTAAAGTTATGTGAAAATTGATATATATATATTTATTTTATATTACTATTTATTTTCAATCAAAAACATAAGCAGTATGAATATTAATAAAAACGATCAGATAGTCTATGCTATAACGTTGTACACACATAATCTACATAAATTAATTGAATAAATGGAAAACTTATGACTACTACCATCTAGCCGATCTCTAATTCATAAACGTTGGCGTTAAGACAAAATAATATTAGACTAAATAATTTATAGGAAACATTACGCAAATGTATTAATTGCATTGTGAGCGTATGAAAGTTGCAATTAGTGAAAATCCAATATTTTATTGTAAAATATAACTTAAAGCTACAGAGAACATATATTACCCTTACTATGTACAATCTGTATATAGGTTTTTTTGTATAATTTATTACTTTTTAAAAAAATATTCGTTAAAACACTTGTAGCTTTTACATTTAAAAAGGGAATTTCCAAAATAATAATAATTAAAAAACTTTACTTCGTTATAGTTTTCTAAAAAATGTAATATGATAAAACAAATGTAATATATTATAAATAACGTTTTTTAATTTATCGCTTATCATAAGTTTCCTTTGAAAATAATTTATGTTTTAATTTTTGCCACTAGCGTATTTGTACTTTAAATACATAAAACTTTGACATCCTTAGTAATTCCAACACCTACTGCCTTAGCAGATAAATAGAACCATTAATATGCCTCGAATAAATAAAGCAAGAGAGATTAGGTCATAATGGGTTGGGCTTGTTTTGAGGACAGTAGAGATAAAGGAAGGGAGGGCTTTGGATGAAAGAAGAAATAAAAGGAAAATATAGATGATAAGAAAGTAATCAAGAGTGTTATACGAGTAGGTAATGCAAGATGAGGTATAAATTAAACTTAAACTAAAATAGGATAATTTATAAAAAGTGCTTATCGCGATTAATAATTAATTCATCGTTTGGTGAAGTGCACACATTTTTTATTTTATTCTAATTTTGTATAAGCTTTTAATTTTAATTGGTTTTGAATGTGCTTACAAGTTTAAATAAATACAAATGATTATACATTTGCCGCATTAATATACAGAGTTCTTTTATAGAGACTCATCAAGTATAAATTCGGGAAGAGGAAATTTAGCTGAAGACCATCGTAAAATCCTTCTATCATATTTTGATGTAAATGCTCTAAAGTAATAGAATTAGTGAAGTTTCTGTCTGAAAGTGAAATGTAACATAAACTACCTACAAAGGCACGTCTTATTAACATGGTTTGAAAAAGTATTTTTTAAGACTCTAGAATTGTTTAACTTAAAAGCATATGTTTACCGAGTTCATTTATATGTTAAGTATTAACAACGTTACATTACAGACTGAAGGGTTATCTATGGTCATATTATTAATATTACTATATATTATATGGGTTAAGATATTAATTTAAACCGTATGCTTAACCGAGCACGTAATGTTAATTAAAGCGTCCTCTGCGACTTATTCTATTTATATTTCTACAATTCCACGAACGTGCTTATTCATTAGACCACGACTGCGAAAATCATTTTAAAGTACCTACTTATAAATTTTGTTTTCTGTAGTAGGTTCTTTAATCTAGGATTTGTTGAATGCTAATATGTAATTTATCAAAAAGTAACACTATATAATTTGTTATTATAAAACAAGGTCATTGATTGTTGAAAATAATTGAAGACAATCGTTTTAATGTTAAAGTATCATATCATAATAATAATAATTGTTATAATCGTTGATGTTCTAGAACCAATGTAAATAATAATTGAACCATTAATATTGATTATCAACAATATTTAAAGAACAAAAATTCTAATTTATTTTGAGTAGAAACTTAATAGTTTATAAGGTAATTTATAAAATGTTTTACGTCAATGCCTATTTATATATTGTATTCATGACATTTTTTAATAGCTAAAATAACATTTTTGGCGAAAATCCAGATTTATGAATTCATAATACTACAAAATAAGTATTTGTTTTACACTTATTGATATTTATCGATCGACATAATAATAATTAAATAAGATCACATAAAGTTTAGAACTTCATGTTTATAAAAGTATTGCATTTTTAAATAGAGAGTTTTAAAGGTATTATAAAGTATTTTTAATAAAGTTCAGATATTCTTATTCGTTTTCATGCTTTTATATTTCAAGTAAAATATATAGGTACCTACGAACACTTTGTATACAAAAAAACATTCGTTTTTTATTTCCATGATTTTGTGTTTTTTTTTTTAAATGCTTTTGTTACGAAGAACGTTGATGTTGAATAATTAAACGTACCTTCTTTTTATAAATGGAGCTTTTTGTGTCTGAAAATTTTGTTTTGAAAAGATAACGGATTTTACTTTTCCGTGACCTTAAAATATGTTGAAAAATATGCGATGATCAACAGGGTATATATTATGTATCAACATAAAAGAATGTCTAAGACTATTAAAAATAATTGAAATAACTAATTTATACTTAATAAACAAAAAAGCACATGTTTTATTTTTAAATTACATAATAAATAGGCTAAATTAAATATTTTTATAGAATTGTTCAGTTGTGGAAAATTGAATGATAAAATATGTAATTTGTACATACTATTTGAACTTTGTATTTTATTAAACTTAATGGAGTTACGGCCTTTTAAATTAAAATAACACATCCATTTTATGAGTAACTCAATAAACATTTGAACTGGCGCAAATTAATTATGCTCACAGTTCAACGAGTGAACAATATAAGAGTATAAAACTATACTAATAATATGTTTGAAAAAGTTTTTATGTATTTATTATCAGTGTTGGGAACTAGTCAGTGCAAAATATACGTAGACAAATTGAATGCATTATCAAAACTATTATACCAATATTGGGATTTTATGTTCTTAAAAAATTCACTTTTACTACAAAAAACTGACTTTAGGTTTGACGGTTAAATCAAGTTTATAGGTTTATTGTGCTATATGGTGGTTTTCTTGTTTCGACTAAGACAGCAGCATCTCTTGATGCTGCTGTTATATTTCTATACTTGAAAAGTTAAGAGGCAGACTTTGTTTCTAAAATTACTGCTTTTGTCATTATTGAATATAACCGACAATATGAAAATGTTTAGCCATTGTGTGGATCAAGTTGTCTAAGCATTATTATTTTTTCAATTTAACGCCCTTAAAATTGCCTAAACAGAGAATAACGGCATGTATATAGGGGATCAGTCGTAAAGCTCAAGTTTTTGAGTCGTGACTGTTGTGTATTAATCACAATATCGCATTCCATCGCAACTATTTTTTTATAGTCTTAAACGAATATATTAACATCAACTAGAGGACATAACGAAGAAATTTATTTTAGAGGTTAGATTCAATTATTCTTAGACGAACCTAAGAAGGTGTTGGTTTTATAACGGTATGGTTTTTTCTATGAGTTTTTTTAGTTTTTATTTAAAAATTAAAATGAAAGTATTTTTATAAAATATTAGAACAGTGAGAATGAGTGACGTGGTAAGGTAATTTTAAATTACCAAATTTTATTTTACTGCCGTTAAGCCAATGGCTGAACCTAACCGCTTTCTGAACAACCAACAATAACCTCATTTGTCTGGTTTCTATTTTAGCTTCGATGCAATAGCAAGAAGCTAAAATAGAACCTATTGGTGTTATAGGTAAAATGGAAAACTGATGACAAATTTGAAACCAGTGATCCCGAAAATATTTAATTTGACCTATTTTGAAGTCTATTAGAATAAAATCCAGACTTTTAGCTCGATGCGAATCATTGGATACTGGACCCCACTCTGGTAATTTCTTACTCTGCTGGTTTTTTTCTATTTCCAGATTCACATCGAAGCGTTTGATTATGATGAAGTTACATTCAGATTTAAAAATGTATGTGTGTTTTTTAAATACCTCGATCTTATAGCACTTCAATACTATTGCATTACTACCTATATCTTTTTGTTAATTAAATTGAATGTTTTATTGTTAGACTATGTTATAGTATAATATGTTATACTACATATGTTTATCGAGAAACAGATGCTTCGGGTCTAAATGTCAGCATTGGGTGAACAATATTTAAAAATGATATCATATCACACGGGTACAATGTTCTTTATATTAAAAATACAAATACTTAATTGATAATATTCCGTTTAAGAAATAGTATTTGCGCGTTAATAATAATAATAATAATATTGAAATGCAAATAAAATCGTCGATAGTATTGTTTATTAACTAATTAATAACAAAAAAAGAAAAAAAAAATGTGATATCTTTATATAAACGTAAGAAAATCATGGAACTTTGGGTTCTTATTGCTTAGTAAAAAAAAAAAAAAATTAAACAGTTTAATCTATCATCGTGAAAACTTGGTCCTCTGGTCAATTACTCCTTCTCCCGTGGCTTCAGCGTCAGGAAACGTCGAGGAAGCAGTGTTTTCTTGTTGTGCATAATCGTACTGGTTGTTTTCCTGTACAGGTCTCGTTAAGTCGAAGTCATCGGCTGTGGTTGGAGCAAGACCGCCGTTGACCATATCTGGCACACTGCCGTCGTTCTCACCCTGAGCCGGGTTGTTCACATCGGGTGGGTAGCTTATTTCTGGTTGATTCACGATGTCGGGTTGGTAGCCTAAGTCAGGTTGAACGTTTACGTCCGGTTGTTGGATGTTTCCTTCCGGTTGGATGATCGGATTTGATGTGTCGTACGTTTCCGGTTGATTCCCTTGGCCGACAGACGGTGAGATAGTTGTCGTGGCTTTGAAACCTAACTTGTTTTTCACCCATCCAACAACGCCTCCAGAATGACCGCAGTTTTTGCCGTGCTCGTGGATTTTGGTTTTCAAATTTGCTATCCATCCCTTAATACCTTTGGGCGGTGGTGACAATGTAGTCACATCGTCGACTTGGGCTCCGTCCTGTGGCGCTGGGTGACCTTGAGCCGAACACGCCAGAAAGGCTACTGTCACTACGACGAGCACCTAATGGAACAAACACAAATGCACTGTACAATAGATGCGACAATAATTATTTTGTAAAGAATAACCGCTTTAGAATTAAGGATATTTAGGGTAACACGAACAATGAACATTTATTAAAATGTGCGTTGCAGTTCATTATAAACATTTTCTGCGGCGCCAGACATTTCTTACTGACGGGACGAAGCCGGGCAAACACTTTTTTTAATTGAACTTATAATTTAATTTTCAGTATCATAAACTACTGACAAGTGGAGTACCTACTTTTGGGATAAAACTAAATTTTAGAAGGAAACTTGTCCCACTAGTCATTACGGCCTATTCTAGCCGATTCTAACCCATTTTACCGATTACTCATTAAACAAAGTTTCTCTTTTAAACGCCGTGTTGTAGTCAGTTATTTATTCTCGTGTATACAGGCGGGTCAAAAGTCGAGTCACATAGGCAAACAGTTACAAGTTAAGAGTTGAATGTAATAAAAGTTAAACATAACGTTTAGCCCACAAAATACAGTGTGATCAATTTAACATAAGACTCATTTTCACGGAAAGTAATTACAATTTTATAGTTTTACTTTTGGAAAACATTTGTATTAATGTTGTTGTACAATAATATAAAACTACCAAATATTTACATTTTTAAATATTTTTAGAGCGCTATCAACTTGTAAAATTTAAATGGAAACTGTTGAAAATGTTGACTTGTCGATAACCAGTTTTGACTTTTGGATAATTAATTTTACGGTTATTTAAGTTTAAAATTTAGGGAGGTGGAGTGCGGTTTAGTAATGCGCGCATATAAAAATAACGAAACTCCACCCTTCCTCAGTTAAAATTTTCAGCAAATTATTCTACTTTCAAAAAGTTTATTAAATATACATTATACACGGTCCCCCATTTAAGTTTCTGGAAAATACTGCACAATAGCAAAATTTTAAATGTTTTCAAAAAGAAGAGCTATAAAATTGTAATTTTTTTTGTCATAATGAGTGTCTTCCGTTAAATTGATCACCATGTTATATATACAATTAATGGTAAAGATATAAAATCTACTTGAACCCTAAACCATAAAAATTATACACTTCTCGCAAGAAGTGTATAATTTTTATGGTTTAGGGTTCAAGTTGATTTTATATCTTTACTATATATTTAACCATAAGTTTGCTTAACAGTTTTTTCTTAATTAATGGTATTATATAATTTCCAAGTATCCAATTTGGTAACCATGTAATCATTATATATCCCATAATTTTTTTATATTCTTCGTACCTATTAATTTCTTTAAGGTCACATATACGATAAAAATTATACATTTTGCCGGGAATATGTTTAGATACAGTTATGTTTGGCTATGTATTTGTTAAATACTTAAATCTACCAGTTTCTTTAGGGTCAATACATTAACGATATACTTGATTAAACTGGATGAAAATCCTATTAAGAAGCTACAATCCCAACACGAATATCTACACTTTTTAGCTATCATTAATAAATTAATTAACTTACATACATAGTGTAGTAGGTAATAATATTCATTTTTTAAATCTTTTAATGTTATATTGTTTTTAAAAACAATGATAAAAAAAAGAGTAATTTTATTAACTTTTAATTATATTGAAGCAATAATTATAGGTCTATAAATAATACATAGTGATGATAGAAAACAGTAAGTGAATATCATATGCTTTCAAGATGATGTACATTTTACACATCATCGCAACAATATATTATTTACATTTTATATTATAATACATTTGAATTCTTATAAGTTGTAGTCTAGATAAATAAAAAGTTAAGTAGTAAATAGCGTAGTTGTGTTGAGACAAACCTTTTATCTTAGATAGTTTTAAAATTGCATCTATTATTATTTTATACATTAAAAAATTCAAACAAATTAGAAAAATAAACTTAAGCGCTTAAAATACGTGATATAATATAGGAACTAAGTAAATTACCATAATGTAATATATTTATTATACATCGTTGTCAACAAATAAAATCAGTCGACATATCAAACCAGTCATGAAAAAATCAAAATGTAGTTTACTTGGCCGGAAGCTAAATTTTTTTCCTGCCATAGTTATCCTACTATGTCCGTATTATAACATGTACTAGGTAGGAAGTAGGAAACGGCTTCCGGCCAAGTAATCTAAATTTCGATTTTTTCATGACTGGTTTGATGTGTCGACTGATTTTATTTGTTGACAACGATGTATAATAAATATATTACATTATGGTATTTACTTAGTTCCTATATTATGTATATATTATGTTGAAACACTTCTTTTTTTTTTTACTTAGCTACCATTTAAGTTAACGAGTTAACGAAGTGTTTTTGTTGGGTACATATAACTAAATAACAAATCAAAGCAAAGTGAAGTCTGAGCATAGAGTGTACGGGGCATAAAAGGACCTATGAACTACCCCGACCCCTAAATGCTCCGTTCCAACAGTTCACTGACCACACTTTGTTGGCTTTTGGAATTATTTTTCCGTCAATACAATTTATATTTTATTATTTACAAACATGTTTTTTTATTCGTTATATTTTATTTCTTTTTGAATTAAATGGCTAAATAACAATAATAGATACAGTTTTTTTAACTATCTAAGATAAACGAAAAATAATTTAAGATAATTTTTTATTTATAAATAAATAGGCTATTTATGAAATTATTTTTAAGCTAATCTCAGATATTTTTTTTTTTTGTTTGTAAATAGTAAATTAACTGATTGTCGTTTACTTGTTAAGTTACAAATAATAATATTCACGAATAAAAAATTACCTATTATAAACCTCGATAAATGTATTTTTCGTACCTAAAATTTCTCCCAAATCTGGAAAATTTTTATTGAGTGCCACTCCAGATTTAAAGTATGTTTTTATAACATTAAGTTTTACGATTCTAGCTAAATAGGAATAGATCCCAATTAAGTCAGTTTTGTAATTTAAATTCTGTGAAAGTTTGAAGGGTTTTTGGAAAGTTTGAATAGCTCAACGCTTGTGTCTGTGCTCGTATTAGTTTACTTTAAAGCTATAGTGATACTCAGATAGTCTGGATAGCAAATATAGGAATAAAATCAAATAAAACGATAAGGCGAGTCATTTCAAAATCCATGGGTAGTCTCCTCGGCAAAAAGAAATACTATGGTAACGGATGGATGAAAATCAATTTTAAATAAAAAATATATATACTCAAGGTTCAAGACTTACGGTTTTTGAGGATAAGCGGACCATATTGCGATGGTGTTGTTTTAGTACAGCTGTGATGAAAGTGTATTATTATTGTTGACTGCCGACGTCGAATCTCTGACGGTTATTAATTATTATTATCGACCCACGAGTAATGTGATCAGTGTTATAAGGCCCAACTACACTATCGACCTCTCGCCCCTGACAGTCCGAAGTTTCTTCTGTCGCCTATGATTTTCGCACATTACGTCACAATCGAAAACACAACAATAATAAAAAAAATAGTTATTACAGCAACATTATCATGATAATAATTGTACCTATGTACCCGGGCACGGGCGTCCGCCGTAATGATAATGTAGTTTCCCAGCGCCACGTGATGAGTGCGGAAGTAGAGGAGTAGGAGCAAACGGCTTGACAAGATGGGGGGGGGGGGGTTGTAATTTCAATAAATTCGAACGAATTCGGAGGCGGAAACGGCATTAAACTCGCGTATGGGATTCTACGTCGTTGGCAAACAGCTCGTGTACATTATTCCTTGCTCTGTCGAATCGCGGTGGAAGTGGGGACATTGCTACACGTTGGTATCGCCGCAGTCGATGATCATAATTATTGCAAAAACAATAATAATAACACGGTGTACTGTGACGAGCTGAAGGTGAGCCGGTATAGGAAAAAAATTACCGGCCGGGAAAACCCCCCAATGAATGAACGTTTTTACCGCGGACGTCATCGGTTTTCAGCCGATCGCCTGTCAGCTGTGCTCGGCAACGGGACGATAAGAACAATAATAATTTTCAAGTGCCGAAGGAGATAAGTGCACGGAGAGACTATCAGCGGCCAAAATGCGGATGACTTGAAAATAGCACCGCACCGGTTGGGCGTTTAATAGTTTAATTAAATGCCACGGAATCACTTCAAACGTTTTCTCAGCTTCGGTGCAACATTTAATTAAACGCGTGATATCGCCGTTGACAAGCGTCCGTTTAATGAGAAATATTGAATAAATTATCGTTTTGGTCTATTTAAACCATTTACAATGTCCCTCTTAAAAATCTCCCAGATATAATGGACGTACACCCGAAATAAACACAACACAGTCATTAGCTATCTTATACCGGACATTTGCATAAAATTATTTTTTATTATAATTGTTACACATTTTTTTTTAAACGTAGTTAAAATATTGTAAAAACAAATTTTGGATAAACATAAAATACTATGAAAACTAATGTTTTGAACATATTTCTTTAACATATAAAATAATTTATAAATGTAGACATTCTTATTTAAACATCAATTATGTTGTTAATGTTTGATTTTCTATCAAAATATGATTTTAAACTATTTTTACAGTAACAATTATTATAAAATAGAGCATGTTGTATGTGTATTGGAATATAAGTATGGAATGGTAATGTACTTATTGTTTCAATGTGATAAAATTAAGTTTTTAAGCAACATTTAAAACCCTATAAATATTTAATGAAATCAAATACATATATAATAAAAGTAATTTCGCTTCTTAATTATAATTTTCATGGTTAAATTTTAATCATTTTGAAAATATTACTTATATAATAACAGTCGATTTCGAAAAGTAACTGTCTAACGCTAACCCCTCGTGTCCAAATAATCAATTTTAAATCATAATTTTTCTTATAGTTTATTCAGTTCACTTCCCCACAAGAAGTCGTTACTTAAAATAAATTATAATTTCTTAATTAAAAAACATGTTTATGATAAATATATCTGTATCATTTTTCATACGGTACGCCATTTTGTATAGCAATCATTTAAGTATTATTTCTAGTTTTCTGAAAACAATTAATTTTCTAAGATTTACCCTTAAAAATAATTAATAAAATAGTCAAGATTTTTGTAACAACTGCAAGATAAAACAACTTAAGAAATCTAATTTTACAAAGATTTGATAAAGTTTTTAAAGTTTTTATTTAGAAAGTTGGATTGTTACATTTTTAATCAGTCTTTCCTTAGTTCGCCACACATGGACCACTCCAGCAAGATATTTTTAACATTTGGTTTATTATCAACTGCTTGAGATCTGTATTTTTCCTGTTTTTATAATCTCCTGTATTTTCGTTCCTATTGAACCATATATTTTCCTTAGTATTTTTTTTCAAAGATTAACCATTTTTCTTCCACGCTTTTTTTGGTTGATCACGTTTTACGCGACACATACGTGACAATTGGCCTGAGGTAACAAATGTGGAATTTTTCTTCAACTTTTCATAACAACATTAGATAAGCATTTTATTCATTGTGAAATATGCTTTAGCCGCGTTTATCAGATCATTCAGAATAATGATCAATAAAATAACAAAAAGCAAAATGCATAACTCATAAGTCATAACTACCGCGACTTTGTTAAAATACAATTAAAAAAAAAAAATAATCTCTCTAAATTAAGTTCTCAACATGTCTTCAAGTTGATTTTTTTATGTAGGTACATTTCTCTTTCATTATCAGCAGAACCCTATATCACGGATGCACTGGTTTTATGGGCTTTCAAGTTCGGTACTACATAGCGGTGTTGGAAGTGACGAGAAGGGGTTGTTGACGGTTGCCGGTAATGAATACGGGTCCCTCCATAATACTATTGTTATTACTATGACAATCGACGAGCTTTTATACAATTAGGATGAGCAGACCTATACTTATTCCATCGCATCTCACCGTACATCCATCTCAGGCAGTTAAGACCCGCGAACCGATTATGCCCTGACCCAGTGTCGTTGGCGACTTATCTGAGTGGGAACCGCGGCGGCCAAAGTCAACTAAAGTCTCTACGGCATCCCCTCGTTGTTTACATACTAGGGACTCGCAACAGGAATGTATTTTCTGTTCAACTTTTCCAAACGTTTTTCTGTGAAGCGCAAAAATATTCACTTAGCTGTCGTCGACGGTTCGACGAGCGATGATAGAAAACGTCATTTGCTTGAGCTCGCAATCCGAAAGTATCGAAGATGATGAATGACGTCTCAAAACATTGACAAAAAAGAAAAGAAATCGCAAAATATATTTATGTGTGGCAATTCAACTCATTTATGAGACGAAAAAGTTTCCTGTTTCACCGTAGTTTTCAACTATAACGTTTTTCTATACTCACACAAAAGTATTTTGACGGTTCAACGAATTAATTTACAAAACATCTCAGCTTACCTAATAGTATATTATTGTGTTCTCGAATGTTCATGCCAAACATTCCGCCTACTACGCATTATTTGTTTCGGTTGGGAAATATTTTTGGAATGTTAACATTTTTCGTTCACCAACATGTAGAAGTTAAACGTAATTATTTTCTAATAAATATATTCAAGTTGGTTAAAATTTAAAAAAAATATACGTAACGTTCGAAGTGGTGATGAAAAAATTAAAACCAAAATATGCATAGCTTTGTATTGTAGCTAAAATAAGTCAACGATATTTACATAGATTTTGTTGAATTAGTTAGATCTTCAGTAAAAAAAATCGAATCGTAAGTAGTTAAATTCCATACCATTTTATTATAGTTAATAACAAAAAAAAAATAGGACATGAAATTCAAAATGTCTTGGAAAAAAAAACAAATGAAAAATTCTTCTGGTGAAGGAAAAGTGAGAAAATACATAACTTTTTTGAATAAATTTATAAAATGTTCATAAAATTTGATATGTTCTAAGCTGAATCAAAAATATATCCCTCAGTTTTTTTTGCAATTTTTAAAGGACGAAGTTGGGTTTTCAAATTTTAATCTACATAAGTGTTTACGAATTGTAACAAGGTGTATATAGACTAACTAAAAAAATTGTTACTCCTTCCTGAATAGTTTTTATTTGTCGAAAAGAAGAAATGTTTAAAATTTCAGCCATATTGTGTCATATTTTCCCCATTGAATTAACAATTAACAATTAAAATGTATGATTTTTATTAAAATCGGCATTACTCTAAAAAAAAAATGTATTTTAAATTTAAAAAAAGATTCTGAAAGGTAACACTTTCATTTCCAAAATGGTCTACTAAACATTTGATCTTGTTAATTTTTATTGATAGAAAAAACGTAATTAAATTAGAAACATTAGTTTACAAATACATAAAAAAACATTTTGAATCTTTATTATAGTCGATTGTAACTGAACTGACTAACTTGAAGTCATTGTAACTAATTAAAAACGTACAAATGTGAATTGTTAAAAGTATTTTAAAACGATTCACGTGGTATGGTCACAGTTAAATGTGTAAATTGTAGTTGTTTTTATATTAAACATTAATTGTGTCATAGTAATTGGTTAGGTAGTATCTAAAATATCTTGTAGCTGAAAAACAGTCTCATTTTATCGTCATTCTATAATATTAATGTAAAATGTAAAAAAAAAATATTATCAAAACATGAACACTGTAGGTGTATTTTAAATTACCTAGATATTTTAAAGTACCTACTGATGTTTGTTTACCCTTAAATATTTTATTATTATTATTGTTATCATATATTTTTTGTTTTTGTAAATCGACATTTTTTTAAGACCCCATGTAATCCTATATCATATGTAGAAGGTTGTTTTTTTAGTTTACATCTAGAAGGTCGGTCTGCATAATATGTTTACCTGGGAATACAGTCCCACAGTTTGTGTTCGCTTAAAAAGAACTTAAAGGTCTTCGATAAAAAAACACAAATTTTACCCTTAAAATTTGAAATTACTTACTCTTGTTTTTCTCGGCATACAAATTAAATGTGGTATTATAGTGTATAGTTTTCAATTTAAACACCTACTGGAGTCGGGTTGGATACAAATGTTATAAAAAATGTTAATAATATAATAATTTAACATTGTAATATTGAAGTAAATTAAAATTTTCGTTTTAAAATTAGATAAACTGAGTAAATATTGTACTGCGTTTCTGATACAGTATTTAACACTTTGTCTGAGTTTATGAATTTTTTGTTCCATCTAAACGTGGTTGCTTTCAATGAATACTTATTTAAATGTATAGGTTAAGTGTAAAATATGTAGTTATTGTACATTTTTTTAGTAGACATTTAGATTAGTATCACAGACCAAAGTTATATTATCTTGTAATATAACCGCTGCACTGACTATATAATCGTATGTGTTTTGTCCCAAAATTTCAAATATAGAATAATAAAACATAGTGTTGTTGAAAACTCAGCTGTTTTTTTCAATTTGTTGTAAAATATCTCGTGGTTAAAGGGTTGGGTTGAA